TATCTAAAAAATTATCAATAAACCCATTCACTCAAGTCTCACACCCATATGATAACTTTTTTAGAGATATGTGTTAAAATTTAATGGTGATCATTTGGGATCCTACTCACATGGGTGTAGGAAGGTCTCATAGTGTCATTATAATATATAATGACAATACCCCTCTCTAAATGTATGTATTCCTTTATTTTTTTCCTATTGAAGTTGGTCTAGCGCATACTATAAGAGAGAGATACACACGTTAATGAAGCTAGTTTGATACAATGTGTGCCAGACTGGCTATCGACCTCTATTAAAAACAGTCTGATTTATATACATATATTATTTAGAACAGTGAAAATTTTCGTTGAATTGGCTATCAACATCACAATTTATTCAAGGGTTGTAATTGCGTCCACAACATTCAGAATGAACCATGCTCATCATGGGCCCACTAATGAATCTCATTTTTTTATTTTTTATTTAAAAATGATATTAACATGTAATTTTGGTTCTAGGTTCATTTTTATAAGTACGATTGTATTAAAATAATAAAAATATTTTGAATAAAAATATTGACCAAACTAAATGTAGGGTATTTTGGTTTTTTTTATTTAGAATATTTCTTAATCATTTTTATTTAGTTCTATTTGTACAAATACATCTACAGTCCAAAATTCGAGATAAGTATCTTATTTCAATAAAAAAACACATGATGCTAATTTTCTGCTGTTGGATATGGCTATATTAGATATCAACTATTGGAAGGATGCTTGTGCGCCCTTCCACCCATCCACATGATATGGACATGATACTTTTCCATTATATTAATGATTGACGATTTGCAATTCTATATATCTTGTCAAACCATGTTAAATATAAAATCTAAAAACAATGAAAATAAAAATTATAAAACACGCTTTCAAATATTGGGGATAAAACAAAACAAAGGATAAGCCTTTTGATGCTCCCATATGAAAATAATAAGAGAAAAATATGTAGAAATCGTTATATTTTGTATTATTACGGTTATACCAAATAGTTTTCGTTATTACAAACGTGTCTGTTTTTTATCTTCTATAATGCTATTTTTTTAAAAGACAAGTTTGCCCCTTTTTGGATGTTCAACATCCGAATTTCTAAGATTTTTGGATGTTGAACATCCAAAAACAACCGTAGCTCCTACAGTGTATTTTCCCATTTTTGGATGTTCAACATCCAAATTTTTGGGATTTTCGGATGTTGAACATCCGAAATTTTTCACGTCAAGTTTTCCCGCTTACTAGCGGAAACTTATTTATTTATTTTTTATAAAGTTGGGGAAAACGCATCATACCCCTTTTACTGTTCCCCAATACAGTAATCCACAAAGTTGAAAAGATCGATTCACTTTTTGGACGTGATTGGTACCGTTCTTACACTTGCCTTATATTGTTGATTAATTGATGTTTATTATCGGTTATTTTATAGGATATTATATTTTGTTATTAATATTTGTTGTGTATTTTTTATTAATAAATGAAATTTGTTTTATATTGATGAAGTTATTTGTTTTATATAATTAGTTGTTGTTTGCATCATGTTGATACATTGTATTCCTTGTTTTGGCTAAATAATTGTTAAACTTGTTTGTTTGTATTAAAATTTGTTATTTATTTTGTGTTTATGTGAATATTTGTTGTTTTTTTTTGTTTAATGTTTATTAGTCACAATTTTAGTATTACATTATTTCGATATATTATATAATACTCAGATTTTATGAACCCTAAAGTAGTTAGAAATATCCCAATTTTTTTGTATTGATTTTTTGGAACATAAATTTTGCTATTCATTTAATACAATAGTATTGACGATGGCTACTGAGGGAGTGCAACTAGTATTCCGATATGGGGGGTCATTTGAGACGAATGCAGAACACGGACGTGTTATTTATAGAGGAGGAAAATTGAAGGTCACAAAGTATAATGGAAATAGTTCCTTGAAGGAACTAAAAAGTCATTTTGGAAATTTAACCAAGCGTGATCCAATCAAATTAGTTATT